TATATATATATATAATTTTTTTTTCCCTCTTACCTAACTGCCCTGGCTAGCACCTCCCATATAATGTTAAATAGAAATGGTGAGAATGAACGTCCTTGTCTTGCACCTGATCTTAGGGGCAATGATTTCAGTCTTTTGCCATGAATTATGATGTTGCATGTGGGGTTTTTCATAGATACATTTTATCAAGTTGAAGATGTTTCTTTCTATTCCTAGCTTGCTGAGTGTCATCATGAAATGATTTTTGAATTTTGTCACATGCTTATTCTGTGTCTGCTGGGATGATCATGTGGTTTTTGTCCTTTACTCTATTATGGGCATATTACATTGACTGATTTTCATACATTAAGCCAAGTTTTATTTCCTGGGATAAATACCATCTGGTCATGGTGTATAATCTTTTTATATGCTGCTGGAGTCTGTTTGCTACTATTTTGCTGAGATTTTTTGCATCTATCTTCTTAAGGGATATTGGTCCGTAGCTTTTATTTCTTGTGATACCTTTATCTAGTTTGGTATCAGGGTACATATTAACTTTCTTTATATAAGTTTTGGGGTAATAGTTAAAGCAGACATCATAATTTCCCTGCATTTTGTACCTATCAACATTTTTGTACATTGCAATATCTGCTTCTTTTTCCATCTTAAGGTCTAATACCTAGCAGTCTATTTACTGAAGATTGGAACATTTTTTTGCCCACACAGATAGGCATCTAATATGATAATGAGAGTTACATACTGTTTTATCAATGCCCACAGAGTTTTCCTATGATAACTCCCGTATGGTTTTCTCATAGGCATAGGCTTTCTTCTCTCCCGAATTCCACCACGCTCTGGCTTCTAAATCCTTAGCACTCTATTAAGCCCACTTCGCATATTACCTTTTCCATGAACTTTCTCATAAAGAATCTTTCTCTCCTATAAACTCCTATAGCAATTTTGTTTGACCACACAATAGTGCATGTATATGTATGTATTTGCTGTAGGGTTTTGCTGCAGATTTATTTTGGTGTGTCTTTTTTTCCCTGGGAGATTTCTGACTCTGGCTTGTACTTAATTTCATCAATAGAACCTAATAAGTACCTATCCTTAGTTTTCACTCAATATAGGTTGTTTTAATAATTTTCTTAATTTATCCTTGATAAAATACCTAGCAATTCCATGAGACATAGAATGTCTTTAAATTCATCAGGCATGAATAAGTAATCATGAATTTTAATATATGCCGAGGACTTCCAGCTGGTCAACAACTATATCAACAAATTCAAAGCATATAAAGGAGACTTTTTTCATTGGACGCCTATATCATTTTATCATATGGCACAATGAGAATTAGAAACTGGGAAAAATAAATCATGTAATAGGTGGTGACTTTGAAAAAAAATCGCAAAGTAAAAAGATGCTGTTTGTCCCTTATGGAGACTTGCTTCTCTAGAATAAATATAAATACCTGGTGTCAGCAGAATGACCGAGGTGACGATCAAGGAGCAGATAACCAGAATCACAAGCAGTGCAATTGCTATTCCTTTCCAATTCCTTTGTGGAGGATTACTCCCCACCAGCTCCTGAAAACAAGCAAAGAACCCCAGTGAGTGAAATAAGGAAATAAAGCAAGCCAAATACATATATTTCATTTAAACCAAGAATAAAAAAATTAAAGGGGCGTGTTCCTACACTTTGAGCTACTGTGAGCTCTTTCTGCACATGCCCCTCCACCGTCAGTGCCTTGAGCCTCGGGCTGTCTCTTTCTGTACCACGGCAAAACATAATCTCAAGAAAGCATCTGATATTGCATTATGCTTACAGCTTTTGTGTGAACCCGATTCTCCTTCTCCCAATAAACTAGACTCTACAGCACAGGGTAATCTTGGAGCTTTATCATCATTATAGCCCAACGCATTAAGCCCCACTGAGTCAAACCCAAGTATGACAACATTTTCCAGCCCCAAGCCCTCCCTCATCTTTCCCTTTCCTTACACAGCCCAACCCATTAAGCCCCACTGAGTCAAACCCAAGTATGACAACATTTTCCAGCCCCAAGCCCTCCCTCATCTTTCCCTTTCCTTACATCCACACTATGAACTTCTCTTTCAGGCCCATCTCTGACCACCTCGAGCCTTTCTTCCTTCATAGCTCCTCACACAAAGTTTCAAGGTTTTCCAGCTTTCTCTTCACTGGGCAACTCACCCATCCCTATTCTAGGTTTTAGTCCGATCCATGGAACCATATTTTCATTGCAGTAAGGGCTGAGGGTGAAAGGGGGAATCTGGAGACAATGCTACCGGTTGAATAAATGCAGGAAATTAATCAGGCACATTGGCTGCTGAGACCAAACTTTCAGTTCCCTTTAAATTAGGGTGATCATATAAGTTGCAGTCCAAACTGGGATCCTTTCAGAGACAAAGGAGCCAATATTAATAATTCTTAATCGCTAATAAA